TAAGGAAACCCTTCCTTCTCTTTCTATACTGGCTCCCTTCTCTTTCATATCACTGGCTCCCTTCTCTTTCATATACTGGCTCCCTTCTCTTTATATACGGAGCTCCCTTCTCTTTCATATAAGGCTCCCTTCTATTTCATATAGGGCTCCTTCTATTTATATTCTGGCTCCCTTATCTTTATATATGGCTCCTTTCTTTCTTATATGGTCCCTTCTCTTTCATATACAAAATGTCGGTTATCTGAACATATCATCTACAAAACTTCTCTTTCATATATGGCTCCCTGCTCTTTCATATACTGGCTCCTTTCTCCTTTCATATTACAACATGTCGTTCTTGAACCATTCATCTACAAAACTTTCTTTCATATTACTGGCTCCTTCTTTCCTTTTGGTATGACTAGTTAAACCGCACACGTTGATACTGAGATATTTGGAAACATTTTTCTCTGAGTTATCGACTAGTTATTAGTCCAAGTCGAATGAAATAAGTTGTGCCGTTTCATCTTTGCCTCGTCATGTCAAGGTAATGGAACCTTGTTGTTCGATTGACGCCACATCAGGCTTCGCCCCTTCTTTGGCATTACCTTGACCTTCACTGATCACCTCTCCTCTACACTGACCTGACAGTTTGTCCTCAAGAGTTGTGTATCTAAGGTGATGAGTCTGCTTGTTTTTGTGTGTTGATAAAATCCCTAATCAATTTGTTGATAAATTCCACTCCGGGTAATAAATCTCTCGTGGGGAGATTAATCTCACTGTGGGTGATGATGTCTTATAGCAGGTGATAGTGTCCCATTGTGGGTGATAAATATTCTACTGTCAACTGTAGTTTTCCGGAAGTTCACCACCGCCGCCTGCCCGATCCAGACCAGGCCTTCTAGGTTGCTCGGATCGATCGATAATGACTGTTGGACGTACCGCGCCCGCAGACGAAAAGTATGCACCACAATCTGCTAATGAGGAATGATCTGAGATTTTCGTCGAGTTCACTCTTGAAGACAGCCAAGGAATTGCATGAATGAAGGGAGGTGCTGAAGAGGCGTAGGACCTGTACACTTATGAATTTCTCGGTATGTACTCATTAACTTCCCTTTTTTCACCGGAGGTATTTGTATTGTCTGCCAAGACTCTTGTTGGTATGTAGGTATTTCGGTTTTGTGATAGGTTTGGGACAATCACTCAGATCTTCCAAGTTGTAGATTATCATGAATCTTTCTCGCTTAGGTCTGCGAAGTTTTGTACATTTTCAAGCTCTGCGAATTTCTTCTGCCTTGAGGGGACGTTAGTTACAGCAATATTAACTAGAAAGAAACGGGGCGACCTGAGAGTATATCATTGGCTTGGCATCTTTTTTTGCAAAGTTCTAGTTATCAACCTATCATTTTCCTTGCACGGTGATAAATGTTGTGCATTGAAACATTAGATCTGTTGGGGGATAAATCCCTTCGGCAAGATGGACAGATCGAACAGTGGGTTATAAATCCCCTTTATGGGCGAAACCTCGTATCATACTGATGCTATACAAACCCGTAAGTTGATAATCAAGAACTTGGGTATTTTTATTGCCGAAATGTTCAGTCGGATGCTTCACACGGTTTTCAGTGTCTTGTTTATCAGGAAAACCTCGTTTAGTACCGGATTTCCTCTATTTTTTTGTTTTAAACAGCCACGGTCTATATCTGTCAGGTGTAAACTAGAGTTGCATTGAAAAGTCATGACGAGTATTTTTCTCTACCTAAAAATGAATGCAGCAGGGCTACTGGCCTATGTTAGAGCAGGTTATTGTAGTCTGTACCCATCTCAGGCAAATTTAAATATAAACAGGTAAAAGGAAGAGAAGGACTAGGCACTAACTACTGGTGGATTAATATACTTGCTAATAGATGGGTGGTTGATAGATTCAGGCTGATAGACCGTCTGGTAGATAGTATTGGCGAGGCATTTGGATGATGACTGGGGGGGTTGATAGATGTTTACGAGGGCCTCTGTATAGACAGGTGGGGAATGTGGGGGGGGGGGTTGATGATACCATGGCGAGTGAAGTCGTAAAAAATTGGTTTGTTTTCAGTCTATTATTACGGTTTTCAGGCAGTCGGGCGTGGCCAGGCTTCGATAATTGACTTCCGTCGGTCCCGTCTTCACCGACGGAAGCCCCGACCACTCACGCTTGCCGACGCAACAATGCATTTTTTTGGCAGACGGCGTTGGGTCAGCGCAGGTCAGACGACATAAGAGTAGAACTCAATCTGGCGCCTCCTTAAGCAAGTCAGAACTCTTGGGACGAGGGGCCAAGGTTGACCCTCGTGAAACCCCCACTGGACCTCAGCTGTGAACCAAACACAGTGCCGGGATATCGATTGGCGCACAAGGAATGGGAGTGTCTTCTGTCTGGCATTGTTTGACAAATCTATAAACTGAGTAATTTTGTAAAGCAAACACCGGACGGTGGGTTTCGAACATGGCGAGTGAGTCTTTAAAACAAATCCCACCCGTTCTGTGGTTTATTTGCAATAGTTTTTATTAGATTTCGTGATGAGTCGTGTAACTTGTGTTATGTCCGTCTATCTAAAATCTACGACTGACCAAGTTGTGATTGCGTAGCTTTGTATGTAGGTTCTGTCGATTGTGTAGTTTTGTAGATGTCTGTCGATTGTGTAGTTTTTGTTCTGATGTCTCTGTCGATTGTGTAGCTTGTTATTCATGTCTGTCGATTGAATATCTACGCACTGATGTTCTCTATTTGTTCTTTGTTGACAAATTAAAACACACATAACAACTCTTGGGTATCTTTATGTAGGCAACGTGTCGCCCACTCAGTAATGCTTCATTCAATAAAGATATACACAAGTGTCGAATATGTGTCTAATTTATCAATCTTGTCGGTTCTCTGAACCAATTTATCAACATTCTTGTCTTTGTGTTAAAATTAAATTGTCTGTCATAAAAATTAAAGATCGGTGCTTAATTCAACATTACGTCTCTTTACATAATTGGACGAGTTGAATGCCAGTTTGAAATTGGTAATTTTAATGAGAGTCGCAAATTGCGTCGTTCATGTCTAGAACGACGCCGACAGAATGTTGGCTATGGTGGACACAGATACAACTAATGTGACTTTTATTGGGTAAGGTTTCGCGGTCAGGAGCTTTACGTTGCCACAATAAAACATTACATAAGTTTGCATCTGAGTTCATTTACCTAATACTGTTTATGTTGTCTGTTCTAACAGCCGTTCTATGCTTATTCTTAATTTAATTCACTACTTCTTTTGCCTCCTACGTACATTTTTTCCCCCCCTGACATGACTTGCAAATAGGTAAAATGCACATCATTTGCTTACTCTGTCCTTGCTTTTGTTTTGACTACTAATGTGTTGAGGATGTTGTTATATCTGCTGCATTATCACCCACTCGTTGACATGTCTCTTAAGATTTCGGTCGGATTTTTAACCCCGGAGAGTTAGCCACCCAGGATATTCCAAGAAAGTCAGTGCGTCATAGAGGACTGTCTGTATTTATTTCCATTGGGGTCCTCATCTTGTCCCCCAGGATGCGACCCACACCAGTCGACTAACACCCAGGTACCTATTTGCTGCTAGGTGAACAGGACAACAGGTGCAAGGAAACCTGTCGAAATGTTTCCACCCGCCGGGAATCGAACTCAGGCCCTCCGAGTGTGAAGCGGGAGCTTTAGCACCAGGATAACATTAAGCGTTTTTGGAAACCTGAAGTTTTAAATAGTTTTCTGGCAGCAAATTTAATTTGCTTAAAGAACCACTGTGGGGGTAACGCAGCTCCTGTAAATATTGTATATTTTTTAATCTTTCGTCCTATAATTTTGATGGCATATACGAGAAACATGGACAGTGTTGCAGTATTTTTCGCTAGTTGGCCATGGGAAAAGAAATGTCTTATTTTTAGGCATATAAGGCGCACCTTGTTTGTACCACCAAAAAAAGTCTTTGGAAAAATCACCCTGCGCCTTATATGCTCAAAGTCAAGGGCAGGTTTTTCGGTTACGCTTTAGCGTAAAATAAGAGGGTAATTAACCCCTATATATCCTTACTGATTTATAATACTTCTGTCATGCGCTTATATGCCGGAAAATACGTTATGTGTATTTTCACTGTTGTCAAATATTAGGGTCGATCCATTAATCCGAACGTCAACAACTTAATGGAATTAGTGAGATTGCATTATTGAGAATGACTTTTAGTTAACAATGCTCTCTATAGAGGCAGACCTATGGTTTTGCAATGAGTAATCTTCTCTCGGCTCAAACCTAGCTAATTCGTGTATACAATGCTTTGGTATTAAATTATTACCTCGTATATTCCTGAAAATATCTGGGTGAGATATGTGGGTGACATCTTGGGGTGGCCAAAAGGACACCCTTTTGAAAGTACCATGGATAAATTGCGTCCTTCCGTCAAAATTTAAATATGAATTGGAAACCAAGGGAAAAAACCCTTTTTGCCGTTAGAAAAA